GGAAGCACTGTCTGGCGCGTCTGCCTCCGCGACCCGAAAGGAGAAGCGGCGATGGAAGATGAAGATGAAGCTTGATCTTCACTCTTGCATCAAGAGTTGAAACATTGTCTATTAAATTTCTTATAGTAACTATAATCTTTTGCGTCACCTAGTCCTTTAGGACGCGAAAAGCCAGATAAACAGAATGCCGGCGGTGCCCTTAGTTATCATAAGGCTAATCATTCTGGTTTTTTGCCCATTCACTCGAGAAAGATCATAATTTTAACAACAGAAATGCCACGGTATTGGAGCGACATTGCGACAAGAGGAAGCTCAATTAGTCGCTTTACATCGCAGCCGACAAAGATAAAGCGTGCAACGGTTGCGTCGGCTTTCTGGGCATTTCTACAGTTTAGATAATGATTAATTGCTTAATTAGCTATTGATCAAGCGTTCCACCAGTTGCATCAAATATTAACTAATGAAGCAGTTTGTTTTTGAATTCTATGCATTCTCTGATGATTAATGATGCGAATTCAGTCGTAAAGTTGGGATTTCTCTAAACAGAATTTTCCTTGTTTCTCATGCTGCCAATCATGGAATCAAAAGATCTCTTAGCTTCAAATAGTTATCATGTGTAAAATTTTTTCTGATTTTATGCTGATAAACGGAGTACTTTTCTGATTCCATTGAAACATGATTCATTTGACGTACTTTTAAATTTTGAGTTGATTATTTTGTACTTGACAAGACATTTTCACCAGTTAAAAGTAATTGGAAGTCGGTTAGCAACACGGATTCACTGTGGCGAATGAATTTTTTATTTGCTTATGTAAGAGAATGCAAATGTCTTTACTTTATTATTTGCATAGTTGTTTCTTACATTTCTATTTACAACTTATTTAATTACTTATGCAATTGTATTTACTTTACTTATTTACTTTATTTTTAATACATATCTTCTCGCGTACCCATTTACTGGGAACAGTTTCATTTCAGTTACAGATCAGAGTCAGAGCAGCATCGATGCTCCGCGCCCATTTTGTTTTTTAGAGTTAGGACAGTTCCTGCAGAGCAGTAAAATGTTGTAGCTAACCTGTTATCATGTGAAAAAGGTTATGCAGCTTCTTGTCCGTCTCTTTTTATTTGTACTTAAGGTCGATTTCTTATGTGCAAAGAAATTTTACTATTTATTTAATTTAAAATGAATTACGTTTCCTTTTAGCATTTAATTTTTTTTTCACTTTAGGCCGTCGCTTCTGGAAGGTTTCGCCGTACTTTCTAGCCAGTTCAATTCCTTGCTTCAAATTTTAAGGTTGGATCGTACCCCTCCGATGAGAAACCTCGTTTTCCTCCCTGTGCAGCTTTCGATTGATGCTGACTCTGAACTTCAGGTGAGCATGGCAGGCATCGTAGAATTCATATTTAAGTTGTTCTTCAGGCTTTAACTGAGGGAAGACTCTGCTTCTGGAGTCATGCGGTAGCTCCTGACTACTTGAGGACCAAACCTGAGCCTCAGGTGGAGATACGCGACCAACAGATATATGCCCAGCTCCAGCAGCGTCTTAGCAATCCGGAGACTGTGCAGAAGCAGATCAATTTCTTCAATCGCTGTTTGACTAACATTTTGGAAAATCTCCAAAACTCGGCAAAAGATGATGTCGAAACCGAAGGTGATTATGTTCGCAAGCTGTGATGTCTTTAATTTTTGAAATGAGATCACGTTAGCTGAAAAGAGACGAAATCCAAAGACTATTTAAGTCACAAAATAATATTCAAACTATTCATGAGCATATCACCGGAGAGTCCAGTGTTATTCTAAAAGTACTTACTTCACAAGAGTAATTATTGAATTACGGTGCTTATTCCTTAAGTAGCTGTCTTTACGGCTGAGGTAATATAACCTTAGCCGGTAGAACGCCGGACATGCGGTTTAAAGATCATAAGTTCAAGTGGGTTGGACCACTCGTTTAGCTTTTTTATGAAAATGGCTAACGAGTTTCACTTTATGGCAAGAAAGGAAGAGGTTTCACCATTTATTCGACACCCTCTCTACTTAAAAATGAGTCATGCTTGAGTGGTAGCATCGAAACGGAGATCAGTACCATATCATAATCTGTGTGGCAAGAACATGTCGCAAATGGAGCCTATTCTGAAATGTAGCTGTGGTTACACGTAGCGT